TAAGACTGCCTGGGTGGGACCTCGGTCTCGGCCCGCGCCCCGCCCCGCCGCGCCCCGCCGCACCTGCACCCCTCGACCTGACCGGTGTGCACTAGGACCTCCATGGCCCCCCCGCACAGGACGGGACGCGGCAGAGGGGGTTGCGGGGGGAGGGGCGGGGCTTCACAGCAGCGGGTCGAGTCCGTCGGGTCCGGCCCGGGGTAGGGGAGGGGTATGCAAGGGGGGCAGCCTGGACCGCTCCTCGCACAGCAGTAGTCATGCATTTTTCATTGCAAATTCTGCGAATCGCAATAACAACACTTCGCCTAGGCGAGTCCGTACGCTTTAACGGCTCGGCTGATCAGGGACATCGTGCTGTTATGGCCACCTATTGCCGATTTTCTAACCTACGTAGTGAATGTAGTAAGAGGCCTTTCTCCGAACCCCCCTCCCTCCGCCCCCCCCCAAAAAAACACACAAAAATAACCCTGCTCTCATTAAACAAAAGTTATAACATTACCAAACGCTCCCGGACCGGGCGACCAGTGTAGTATGAAAAAAAATGCGTAGAGAGCAGTCTGCTCGAAAGGGATTCCATCGTAATTATAAAGATACCAGTGGCGATGCTGGAGTACTTTAATCTCTGATTATACAAGGGGGTGGTCCACATAGACCCCGGAGCATAATTTAGTTAAACTGTACTGCATGCCAGGCGTGCGGGCGCGTTGCCTACTAGCAAGGGGCCATAGGGTGGCTGCATGCGGTGCAGTATAATATCAACGAAATATTCCGGGGTATGTGCATGGAAAAGTGTGTTGTGTTGTTGGCTTTTTCGCGGGGCAATCCGGTTTGCTGGTGAGGTGACGGGTAAAGCGGGGGCGGGGCGGGTCTGAGGCTGAGAGCTGACTGGCCACCACCGTGTGCGGCTTGTCGGAATGGCGTTCTTGACAACGAACCGCGGCATGTCTCCTAGTAGTGGCGTTATGATTATGATTGTTATTAGTTGGTTATTCTCTTAAAAACGGCTAGTCGAGGCAGACGGCTGTCGGTAGCACACGCCGCGCCACGCCACGCACTGGCTCTCCTGTGCACTAGGTATACCGCATTTTAGCCGGCTAGCCGTAACCTAGAAAATGCAATGTCACGAAAGTAATGACTCTGGGCCGTAACTTCGGGAAAAACTACCAATAAATACGTGTATCGCTCCAGATGCCGGTGGTAAAAGTAGAGGCACGCCGCACGCCCCTTGAATCTGGAAATGCCAATACCAAGTACAATAACAGTACCTGCAAAAAAAGGGAACGAAATATTATTCATAGGTCAAACCAACCGCACTGCATGAAAATGAAAGAAATCAGTCATAAGAACTAAAATTTAGTTGAAACAGACCCAAACAAAACCAATTATTTGTTTCAAGTGCAAAGTCTATAGGTGCAACACCCTTCCTCACGAAAAGTTTGCTCCCGCTTGTTCCCGTCAGTGGGACTAGAGAATGAGCAATTTTACAAAATTTCCGAAATTCAAAACCGATAAAATTTTAGTTGTGTGGACGGAATTTCGATTGTACTGATTAAACAATTTAGCCAAGGCAACTTATTTTATAGACGATATTTAAAATTAGAGTATACTAAAACTTAGTTGGTTTCAGGACCTATGTAAATTTTGTTTCCTACGACCCCCATTCGATTGCTGATATAGTTCTCTGGGTGTGATAAGCCAAGGCTTTGTGGTGGTCCGAGAGTAGCCCTTATTCCACTTCTTCTTTTTTTGTAAAAGAACTCATTAACAGGAGTTGGAGTGTCACTGTCGTCCCTGAAGGGTGTGGTGTCGCCGGTCGGAGTCTACAGCCCTGTACTCGGACCATAAGCAAGCCCGTGCAAAAGTCACGCGGTCGACCCGTACCCCGCGAGAGGAAAAAAAAAGCGAAGGACGGAGAAGGTCGGAATCAAACCATCGGGTAAAGTGGACGATGTGTGGAGCCGAGCAGAGGGAGCATTCCTGGAATTACAGGAGTCACGCCGTGGTACCTTAAATGCAGTGAAGCGCAGAGCGCATGTAACTCCGCAGCAGCAGGCAATGACGTGCAGCATTGGACCGCTCCCCTCTCAATGCTCTGTGATTCCAAACCAAATGATTCGTATTACAAAGCAGCCTAATGCTTCGCAGCTTGCAAACTAATTTGTTTGTGAGGATTCTACAGTGCTCAGTTAAACATAAACTCTGAAAATAAATTATATGCACAACAATTAAGACAATGCGTGTGCTGTATACTACTGCCCTTTGCCCTTTAGCTAATCTTGTGCTTGAAGGATGTACGAGTACCCGCTCCGACCCCAGCGTTGCGGTCGCACAGCATGTGTTCATATTAGATGGACTGTGAAAGTGCGTGTCGTTTAGCAACTTATGCTCGAGTCTTGAGTGCAGTTTTTTTTTTCATTCGCGATGTAGCTAACTTGTACCGTACTCTGTCTCTTATGCGGGGTGTGCGAGGAAAGGCCAAGGGTACGTGGAGGGGAGCGTGGCGGAGCAGAGACGCCGTGGCGGTAGGCCACACATCTGACACTTCACGCTCCGGGGAGCCTCCGCTAGCCTAGCCTCCGCCCGACCGAGCATGCTGAGTCGTCTTCTTAGGACCGTTCAAAGGGAAGTAGCCTGCAAGTTGGATACCATACCGGGTGCAACAGAGAGGACGCCGCAGTGTTGCGGGTTCACCTACCTATCCCGGCCGCTCGCAAAGTGCTATGGCTCCTGCAGCTCAAGAGGAAGAGGGCATGCAATCTCGCAACACTGCAGCGTCCTCAGGTACACCCGGTACACTCCCACAGAAGCCCGCCGAATTCGTTGCAAATATTTCTATATTTTTCAGTTTGATACAAAGAATACGTGTATTTTATAAAGTCTACTCTTTCGGCAGCATTACACTAGTTGGTCGGTCAGCACTCAACTCTACACAAACCACACTTTTTAAAAAATAATAAAAAAGCAGCAACATAACAACAAGGCCTTGTCGATGCGTTTTATGCATTTTATTTTGTTAGTGTTGACGCCGCATATTATCGGCTCACAGCACCGTTTGCCTTAGACAGGCCGGACGGTAAGGTTGTGACTTTCAACCCAGTTCCACTTTCCAGCGTTGGTGAGGCGTGCCTACGGAGAGCGTGTCACCGACCAACATGGCGGTGATCAACTTACATTATAACTTAGACGAGACCCAAGGCCTCGCAGCGGGCCAGGCCGCTTTGCAAATGAAACGACACAAACTCGGGTCATTTTTCTTTTCGTTTTCCCTGGTAGTGCGGGAAAAGTGTGAGGGGCATGTTATAAAAGCCTAGTTAAAGCCATGGAAATAAAATACTATAGTCTTACTTTTTTCTTTTATTGGCGCCTAATTGGTAGTACAACTACAGAATGAGGTAGATGGTATGTGAGTTATTTACAAGATGAGCAAGAGTGTGTTGCAGTCTTTGCGAGGTTCCAAAGAGTTCTCCGGAAGGTCCCATGGCCCGCAGGTCGGTCATCGACGAGGGCCGGGGGGAGCCGCTGACGACCTGGGTCGGCGGCGGCCAGAGTGTCGCGTCGTCTAGTAGTGGCCGTGCTTGACCTCGGGGTGGATGGCGTGGCCGCTGTAGGAGACGATGGCGTTGAAGCCGCCGTGCTTGCTGGCCGTGTAGTGCACGATGCGCTTCCTGCCGTCGGGCTGCAGCAGCGAGTACTCGCCCTTCACCACGTCGCCGTCGCGCTCCTCCTTCTGGTCCTTGTGGTCGCCGGTGTGGTGGTCCTCCACGCCGTACTTGAACTCGTACTTGGGGTGCGACTGCAACATCAACAATTGGTTTTGAAGTCATTTACGACCGTGGGTGGGCAAGCCCGCACAACAGTGAAGACCAACGTGTAAGTCTATCGATAACCTCCATTGGTTTCATCCATACTGTAGTAGGCCTCGCGCTCAACAACTGTGAGCGGAAAACTTTACAAAAAAACAACAAAAAAACAAAAAAAAACCACTCCAACTGCTTTTATGTTTTTCGCTTTAAAGATACTCACGTAGTGCTCGACCTCCTCGTGCTTGTAGACGGGCTCCTCGTGCTTGTAGACGGGCTCCTCGTGCTTGACGTAGACGGGCTCGGGGTGCTTGTACTCGTGGTGGACGTGCACGGGCTCGGGCTGGTGGTGGTACTCGTGCTTGATGTGGATGGGCTCCTGGTGGTGCGACAGCTGGTTGACGGACGCGTACGACTCGGCATGGCCGTGGTGGCCGTACTGGGCGGCCGCGGACACCACCACCGACAGCAGCGCGACGACGACGGCCTGGAACACGGGGGAGAGGAGGGCGTTGGAGTCACTCTACGACGCATTGAGATCCCGCCGATCGGGTCGAGGCGCAGGAGGGCGGGGGCCGACCGGTCGCTAGGCCGGCCTGGCGCACGGCCAGGTGCACGTCGTCCAGCGAGCGACAGTTGTCGCGCGAGAAGCCACCCTCCCCTCCTTAGACCGCCCCGCCCCTTCTTTCGAAATTGCTGTCTGTAAATAAAGCAAACGCCGCGTGTCATTAGCATGACAGCTTACCCCCACCCCCCTTTCGGCAGCTGCAGCTGCTGCCCACCGGGGAGGGGAGGGAGGGGGGCAGCTGCCGCAGCTGCAGCGGGCGGGGCGGGGCGTCGAATGGGCTGCCTACCGGGCCGGCGCGACGGCGCGCGCAGGCCGGGAGGGAGACGCGCTCGCCGCCTTCACTCACGCCTTCACTCAGCACCGAAAAAGTGTTGCAAACGCCTCGGTATACGATTGAATTATGGGCGGCAGCGCGGTCGCCGCCATGTAGCAGCTGCGGCCGCCCCGCCCCGCCCCGCCCCGCCCCACCCCGGGTGCGGCTGCAGCCGCGGGGGCCAACAAATCAGAGCAAGCGGCGGCGCGTGGCGAAACTCGAACGCGATCTAGTACGAGATCTCGTACATTCAGCACTTTGATCGCTACTTTCTGACGCGCTAAATTTCAAGACAGCGGCCTATTCCAGGTGATGGGCAGGAGACCTGCTGATGGTTATCTTGGGACGCAATGAATGGAAATGTGCACAGCCCTATGGAGTAAGCAATCCCGCAAAACTTGAGCGCATTCATAGATCCACCCAAAATCATCGAAGTGTATCATCAAAATCTTAAGGAGTTAAGATTGGATGTGACGAATGAGAAACCGTGAGAATACGATAAAGTGGTGTATCCAGGACAATCGATGCAGATTTTCAATTAAGTGGAAAGGGGGAGCTCCCAGCATCTGCCACAAGAAAGGCTCAAACAGGCGCAGATTAAGCGGGGTAGAAAGGCGAACAAAACCTCTGTAGAGGCAACCCAGCCCGGCCTTACCACGCCAAGGACAGGAGCGTCGTGGGTAGGCAGTCCTGGGACCCACGCCCCACGGTGGGGGGGTCAAGCCGCGGACTCAACTTGTCAAGGGATCGTCCTCGTACGCCCGTTTTTCGTAGATTTATTCGTCAAATAAAACGGGGTGTTCGTTCGACGCCTGCGATACTGAGAGTAGGCCACCCCGCGGTACACGCGTGCAACGTAGGCAGGGTGTTGCCTACCTAGCAGGCGCTATGAGAGCTTGCGTTTGCTGAACTTGGCAGGTGAGTAACGGCGAGTGACGGACCTACATCCTGATAATCCACGCCTATGCTCAAGACCCGGAGAGCAGCGAAAAGTAATTCAATTGGATTGTAGACCAAAGCAAAACTTAATCTAACTATTTTGAGGCGTACCCCCTGCCCCACGCCCTTCTCGCCGAGGATGTTTAAAGCTGCACCACCCCCGTCAGCGGAGATGCAACACAACAACACAATGGCCTTAACACGCAACTTTATTACTAAACTACGACAAGGAGGTACGTGCGAGAAGGGGAAAAAAATTGAGAAGACGCAGTGTACGCTTGCGTGTTAGTGAGTAGCGCGTGGTGCAAGAAAAACCGCGTTCCGAACGCCGGCTGGCCACAAAGTAAGCCAGGTGCTGTTCGCCTCAACGAGGCTGGCCGTCGCTGTGTCCGGCCGCCGCCGGGCCGCTCGCATCAAACCGATACGATACACGTCGATACGTCGATAAAACCAGACCTGCGCGGACCACGAAAACGCTACATATGCATGGATGCAAGTCGCCAACGCGCGTCCGTCATTTGTTTCCAGCGAACGATTTGTCACCCTGGTAGGCGGCCGTGTATATCTCGAGCCGTCGCCCGAATTGCCCGCTTTTATCGCTCTATTTACAACAAGCGTCGTTCTGCTCGGCAGGCATTAAAACTCGGCGGCTGGCTACTTAAAACCGCGCGAGAGCGAGAGCGAGAAAATCGGAGTAAACGAATATGCAAAATAGAACTCGTTTTCTATACCCGACGACATACACTGTAGTAAACAGAAATGAAATGAAATGAAATGTGGGAGTGAAGATGAAAACGTTATCTAAGGCGTTCGGCCCGCGGCATTCGCATTTTTTTCATATTGCACGCAGGAGATTGCGCTTCAGCTATGCCTATCCAGCCCACCCCCTCCACCCCACCTCGATCACACCACGAGCTCGCACTCGGCGGCGTGCTCTGCGCAGTTCGGCGGTGCGCCCCCTGTGAGCCGTCGGCAGCGACCCCGACCAGTGCGGGTCGAAAGGCGGAAGGGCGGTGCATGGCCACTCCTGCTCCTCCAGCAGGTGGATCGGACTCGACCGGGCGGCTCCGCTGAAATGAATGGGGGACGTCCGCCATGCGCCACGCCACGCCACGCCGCGCCGCGCCACGCCACGCCACTCCACGCCAC